AATTCTCTCTATACCTAGTTATTTAAAATTCTAGTCTCTACAACTTGTTCTTTTCATGTTTTTACTATCAGCACCTCTATTACTCATGCCTATTCTCTCATATCTCATTCTCATATATCATTGAAGAATATATGTAAGTTCATCATTGTCAATCTTTCATTTTTGCTTTGAACTTCAAGTCATCCCTCTTCTTCCTTTAAAAATTTTTACACAATCCAAAAAATTTACTTTAAATACATGAATTTTAAAGGTATGATTGTAAATTTAAATCTAAATTCAAATCAATTAATCCAAACATCATCTAGCTAAAGTAATTCTTTTTATGTGCAAAATACTTTTTTCAATATTTGGTGTGTAAAAATATATTTTAAAAAAATAATAATCAATTTATATACTTGTTACTCCTCAGTTCTTATGTAGAACAGTTGTTAATTTCAATTTGAGGTTAACTGGTACACTCTCATCTGATTAGTGAAACCATTCACTCACTAGAAGAGTTTAATTATCACCATATTTATCACCTTTATTTAAAATAATGACTTAAAACTAACAAAATTATGAAGTCATAAATGAAAACAATCATTTTAGAAAAGAAAAGTAAAGTTTAAAACACTTAAGCTAATTACAAAGCTTACAAAATTAATTGCAAATAATGAGTCTATATGACTAGTTTTAATTATGAAATTCTTTTTTTTCTAAAAAGAACTCATCCATTAACCTCAAAAGTATAGACATGTTATCAAAGATTAAAGTTAACTTCTAAAAGAAGTTAATGCAATAAAAAATAAAGAAAATTATATTAGTAATGAAAAGAAATTATCTCTAAGAGGGGCCCATTATCACATCAAGGATCTTATTTTCCTTAGCACTATATTGTATAGGCCATAAAGTAACTCCTAAGATTACGTTGCATCTGAGAAGAATCTGTCACTTTATAATTGGACCACATTTTTATTTTTATTGCATTATTTCGTTTATGGTCAGTCTTGTATTATAGGCCATAGAGGATACCCCAAAAAGAACGCCAGTGAGAGTAAGCAATGTTTGAATATATTTTGCCTTCACAAACATATATGCAGAAGTCTTTAGTCTTAATTTATTTGGATGTATTATATCTTTAATTTCTATCACCCATTTGTTGGTACATGATGATCTTGACTTGTGAGTATACTTCAAGCCACGCCATTTCACAAGAAATTGCTTCTAAATATCTTCCCTTATGAATATTTTATTTTGGTAATATTATATCTTGGCTCAAAGAAAAATACCACAATTAGTTTATGTTTAAAAACACACATAAATAAATTACAGAAAATGACTTATAAAAATTAATATTGATTAAATCATTTAAATTTTCTAGATACTCCTTTATAATTTTTTTGTTTAACTAATTATAAATTCATTTTTTTATTGCCTACCCGATATCCAGAGCTTTGTCCTGACTAATATGGATTTGACCGGCATCGTGCATCTGGCTATAGTGGGTGAGTCTTCTAGCGGAGGTTTTCTGTAAATACAAGACTTGAGTTTGAGACTTTACTTAAGCAGAACCGAACCGCTTACTACTCAAACCAACCCTTGTTGGTAACTAACTGTAAATTTAACTAACGGATGTTTATAACAAGTGTAAAGAGCTTCGATCCTTCAAGCTTTTTTGTGATTCTATGGAAGCAATTGACGTGATCCGTGCAGAGGTTTCCGATATGCATGAGGAGATTCAGAGCTTGCTAGCTGCAATGGGATTGGCATGTTGACCGCGATGCCAATAACTAAGGCAGCAGACGTTGTTGCTGAACAAGCTCTGGGGCAGGTACTTAACTTTTGTGCTTTGCAACTTGCTTGGAAGTTGGAAGATGAATAACTTTGGAATGTCTCAACAAAAATAGAAAAAAAAACAAAAAGAAAAACAAATTAAAAAAAACGGGCATTGAATAAAAATGGGAGAATTTCAATAATGGACCCTTAATGATATTTAATTACATTCAAAGCCTTTAAATTTTTAAAATTTCACTATAATTTAGAGGTATTGATTTGATATTAAATTTATGAGAGAAATGATAAAATTGCCTCTTCTTTAAATTAATATAAGGACTTCCCTACTTCATCACTTGTTAATTGCCCTACTTTATTTATTTATTTACTTACGAAATATTAGTAATTGTCATACTTAACTTGTTTATTTCTTTGAAATAAAATCAAGTGAAGGTCTAGCAATGAACAAGTGAATTAGGGTAATTAACAATTGAAGTAGAGCAATTAATAATAGTTTGTAAATAAATGAACAACATATAGTGTAAGAATCAACAAGTTATTTTAAGATAATTTAAATACCTAAAATAAAAACATGTGAAATAGGTTACATTTAGTGATTAAATAAATAAGTGAAGTAAGTAAATTAACAAGTGAAGTATAAGAGTACTGATATTAATTTATAATATTCTGAATCCAAGTAACCAACACTTCCTTTGACCACTGTGCTAATGTGAAACTTGGACATCCCTGTGGGTCCTATTTTGGACAATCTAAAATCAGAAACCTTAGCCACCCATTTGTGATCTATTAAGATATTTGTGGATTTCACATCACGGTGAATGATATTGCGGTTCGCACCAGTATGAAGATAATGCAGTCCAAGTACGTGCGGCACCAACGCACATCCCCAACCTTTGCTTCCAGGAGAGAAGAGGGTTATCTGAATCATAAAGATGGTCACGGAGGGTCCCATGAGCCATGAACTCGTAGACGAGGATCAACTCGTTGCCATCGTTGGAGTAACCAATGAGAGACACTAAATGATCGTAACGAAGTTGAGAGAGCAGAGTGTTGTGTTTTCAATAAATAGAGGTCTTCTTTCTCCTCTTCTTCATCGGGTACCCCTATTTCATCAACCAGGAGGACGGACAATTGGAAGCGTTTGAGCCTCTTCTAATCTACTACACTATATTGGGCGAGCATGGGAAGCGGTCGCACTTGCCAATTGATCTTCGTTCTAACGTTGGGCCTCAAAATTTTATTAAAATAAAATTTAATAAATATTACTCCCTCTTCAAAAATATAAGGTATTTTTAACTAAATTTTACCTCAATAAAATAGTTACATATTTTTCAACTAACTCTACTTTTTCATATTTACTCCTTTTAAACATCCTATAATAAATATAAAGTCATTATCAATAGGGACACTTTTGAAAAAAAAAACAATGATTACACCTCGAAAGAGTAAAAATGTCTTACATTTTTGAACATCTAACTCTTCAAAAAATGCCTTACATTTTTGAATAGAAGGAGTATTATTTAATATTTAATAATTTAAATATTATTATTTATAAATATTCATCCAAAATTTATAAATTATTTTTAAAATATTAACAACTTAAACTAATTTTGTAAAAATTTATAGATTATTTGTAAATTACAAGTGAAGATTTGTAGATGATGATGATGATGATGATATTTACAAATAATTACAGAAAATGACTTTATAATAATTAATATTGATTAAATATTTTAAATTTTCTAGATTTTTTTTATAATTTTTTTATTCAATTAACAGTCAAATTATCGAATATTTATAATTGAAGTATAAAAACTTTGATCCTTCAGCTTCTCTGTGATTCTATGGAAGCAATTGACGTGATCCGTGCAGATGTTTCTGTGATGCATGAGGATTGGGCGTTATAAAGGAGATTCAGAGCTTGCTAGCCTCAATGGGACTGGCATGTTGAAATTCATGATTAACCGCGATGCTAATGGGGCAGCAGACTTCCTTGCTAAACAAGGCCTGGAGCAGGCCTCACACTTTGATGCTTCTTCCTGGAGACAAGCCACTGTTCGCCTAAGGAATGTTGATCTTGGCTAAGCATAATGGAACGTAGAGTGCCATGTGCTCAACTTTTGTGCTTTGAAAGTTGCTTGGGAGATGCAATGACTTTGGAATGTCTCAACAAAAATTAAAAAAAAAAAAACACAGAAAAAAATTGGACATTGAATAAAAATTGACGTTGTTGTCCTCTATAAAAATTGACGTTGTTGTCCTCTGTAAGCGTCAGACTTATTAACTGTTGACGCTGACATGACATTACAGGGCTGCTTGCTTGTGAGTTCGCTTTTGGTGGGTGCTCACCGTTCAAAATTTTAACTTGAATAATTCAGATTTTAAGATTTATTTTTATATTTTTATTTTATATTTATTATAAAAATTATAAATTTTTAATGAATTTATTTTATTATTAATTTAAACAATATAAATTTAATCTAAATAATTTAATTTAATATCATTTTTTATACTTTTTATAAAGGAAAAACATAATTTTAAGTCTTTGTATTTTGTTCACATTTTGTCATTAGTCCCTATACTTTTTCTTAATCTTTTTGGTCCCTATAATTTTACTCTTTATTATTTTATGTCTCTTCAAGATTTTCATACTTTGTTTGTAGAAAGACTTAAAATAATAAAAAAAATAAAAGTATAGAAATCAAAAACATTAAAAAAAAGCATAGGGACAAATAACAAAATGTGAGCAAAGTACAGGGACTTAAAATTATTTTTTTTTCTTTTATAAATTAACTATCCAAATGTATTTTAGATAGTTTACATTTAAAATTTTTAAATTGTAACTTTTTCTTATTTTTTTAAAGTGTCACTTTAAAGATTATTTTTCATTTTAATATTATATTTACTAAAATAAAAATATAAAAAAATTTTAAAAAATGTTTATTATTAAATCTAGATGCTTCAAAATATATCTGGATAGTCAATTTATAAAAATTATAAAAAATTTAATGTTAAATTAGACCATCCAAATTAAATATGTACTGTTTAAATTGATGATAATATGAATTTATTAAAATTTTATAGTTTTTTATAATAAATATAAAATAAAAATATAAAAATAAAATATGGTTCAAACTGCTCATCAAGTAATGGACACCTAAACCAAACGCCTTGTTTGTTGAGGAGAATTGATATGTACTAATAATTGTGATGGAAAGACTTGGAAATATGGAAAAACTTTTTAGAAAGTGAAACTTCTGACATTTACAATTCAAGAAGGAAAGCACCACAAACAATAGGCCAGTCTGCGTTGATTTATAAGTTTCATCTTGTACACCCACCATCAGACTATCACCTACTAGATCCTGATCCTTCTTCAACAATAATCTCTTCATTCAGAGTCCCACCAAGCTTTGTCTTCTCTGCTTTGTTTAGCATCTCTATCAAATACTCGAGGCCCAACATCACATCTCCCATGGATGGCCGTTCATTCCCATTATTATCTAAGCATTTCAATGCAATCTTTGTGTATACCTTTAAGCACTCTGGAGTCACGCTTTCCCTCAAGAATGGATCCACCGTGTCATAAATCTGATTCTCATCAACACATCTTCGAAACCACTCTACAAGGTTTTGTCGTTCCCTCCCCACAGCACGGAGAATAGGAGGCCTCCCACACAATGCCTCCAGCAAGAGCACACCAAATAAGTACACGTCTGACTTATCAGTCAATACTTGCAACGTATAGTATTCTGGATCCAAATAACCAATGCTTATGTTAATGTTAGATCTTGAAATACCTGAGGGTCCTACCTTTGATAGTCCAAAATCAGAAATCTTGGCCATCCAATTTTCATCCATTAAGATGTTTGTCGACTTGACGTCACGATGAATGATTGCATGTTTTGCCCCTGTATGTAGATAATGCAATCCTCGAGCAGCACCTAGGCAAATCTCGACCCTTTGTGTCCAAGAAAGTGGCTGGTTATTAGAATCATAAAGATGCTCACGAAAGGTCCCACGAGCCATGAACTCGTAAACGAGGATCATCTCATTGTCATCTTTGCAGTAACCAATGAGAGATACCAAATGATGGTGACGAAGTTGTGAGAGCAATTCAATCTCAGTCTGGAATTCTTTGAGCCCTTGTTGTGAACCTTCTTTGAGCCCTTGTTGTGAACCTTCTTTGAGCCGTTTGATTGCCACTGAAACTGAACCATTGTCAATGTGGCCCCTATAAACATTACCAAACCCTCCAACACCAATAATCAAATTATCATCAAAATTATTAGTGGCTGCTATAATCTCATCTAATGAAAAGCAGCGACTCAAGTCAGATAACAAAAATGAGGATTTATTTGTTTTTGATGTCAATGTTGGTTCATATCCCCATCGTGAATTCCCTTCGTTGATTACACCTCTAGCCAATAATCGATAGAAAATGAACAAAACGATGAGAGAGAGAAGAATGAAACTGGAAGCCGCCCCGACAACTATAGAAATTACCCTCTTTTTTGGTGGGTTTTTAGATGCCTTCGGAAGTAGTGGGGGAGAAGGAAGTTGATCAGGATTGGCACCTCCGAGATTGTATTTGAAGTCACTTATCTTCAGAATTTCAATACCATTCAATAAAACGTCTCTGTAAGTGCTTCTTGCATATGGGTGTGGTTGCAACTTAATTGTTAGATTCAGTTTCTTCAAGCTTCCTTTGCCCTGCATGGACACTGCATAGTCCCTATGGACAGGAACCAAAATCTGCTTGCTACTCCATATCATTACATCCGCGATATTTTCCACCAAAGCATCATCTATGAAAATTTGGAAAACTCTGTCTCCAACATTTTGAATGTGTTTGTCAAACTCACAAAAATGCAATCTCACCATGTAAGTAAACTCTGAGTCCACTTGAAACTCCCAGGTCACATTAAATTTGGATGTTTCTTTCATCCCGTAGTTTCGAGCAGTCTTGTATACTTCATCTGGTGCAAAATAATTTTGACCATCTTCGTGTGTTAGACTCTGATTGCCAAAAGCTGCTGATACACTGTGTGGGCGCTCCTTCTCTAAGTATGGATTATCTGGGTCCCAAGTTCTAAACATGCCAGTATCTTGATTGGGAGCCATCTGCCTTCCACCAACATTGATTCTGTACACTGTCTCAAGAGCACTTTTGTTTTTGACAGGAAACTGGATGGTTCCGCCATCTTGCAGCATAGCCTGTGGGTCATCAAGTCTAGTGTAGTAAAGATAGGAGGGCATAGAGACGACCTCGATCCCATTGACGAAGCATAGGCGTTTGGACGAGATAGGCTGGGCGTGAAGGTTATCATAAGCTCCTCATCGGGGTCAACAACGTTGATGCAGTACTCTAGTACAATGGTTTCTTCGTCATAGTAATCAGCGGTGATTGAAGCATTGAAGTCCTTGAGAAGAGTGTGAGTGCCTGCTCTGACGGAGAAGAGAGAGTCAGTGCGAAGGAAGTTGGGGGTGTAGGAATATGGGTTAAAATAAAGGCGAATAAATTTTTGGCCACCGGTGTTCACAGGAAACATGTACAAAAATTCAGAGCGAGAGAGCCGTGTGGTGTTGTAAGGGATTCTTTGGTCATAGGGAACACTGGCGATTATTGAGTTGTTGCTGTTAGAGGATTCGATCGGAGAGAATCGTCCAGAACCTATGTCTCCGGTCCACTTCCGGCCATCTACAGAAGAAAAATCACCAGAGCTGCCACAATTGACGGCAAAATAATCATGAGGAGTGTAGGAGGCGATGCAGGTAATGAAAAGGATGTATATTTGGATGAATAAAAGAAAGGACAAAGCTTGCATTGGTGGGTTAGTCATACTGGAGACACCTATCCCGGTGAAGCTCACCACAATCAACGATTACAGCGAAGAAGCGAGAAGTTGGATTTGAATCCCACGCGTGTCCTAATTACACGTATTGGATGAGTGTCTCCACATGTCCAAATCATATGCTCTTAATACGATCAACGATTTTAAGAAACTTAAACACTGAATTTGAATCCCTTTTTTTGGTCGTGCCTGAATGCCTTCATTATTCAGTGTCGAGATGAAAGAACATAGACGCGGACGACTTTCAGTGTCCCAAATCCGACAACACCCATCATCTTCCTTCGGCCTCAGCATTAACGCCCTTGACTTTGGAGGGTTTCCAGATCTGAAAAAACCCACCAACTCAGCATCAAGCTAGCGCTGTCTTCATCTGAACAAACTAATAAAAGATCATCAACGCTTATTTCTCAGTTCAGCCTTGGTAGGAACTAAGACTGATTGAGATTCACATGCACAGACAAAAAGCGTCATGAAGCTAAATTCAATTTGTTGGTATGATTCATTTGCATAAATGGAAGATGCAGAACAGAGCACACAACATCCACAATGTTAACTAGAGGGGACTTTTATTATTTACTAGGAAAAAGGTCCATGTTCATGGCCGTCGACGAGACGGAAGAATAGGACACAACAACGTTGCTGGAAAGAAAACTCCACTTGGCTGGATTGCAAAGGAACACAGAGCATAGCAAAATAGATGGCGTACAAGATGATTGTTTAAGAAAGTTGGGGGGGGGGGGGGGAGAGAGAGAGAGAGAGAGAGAGAGAAGGATTAAGTGAATGCCGAATTTGACTATGTAAAATCTTTGCAGCCATTGACTGTGTTAAAAGCATACACACTCATCCAATGCCTGTTGCTAGGACACGCATTGGATCCAAATGCCGAGAAGTTAGCTTGTCTTACATCCATGCTTTTATTTTATATTTTATAGTTTTTTTTTTTTTTACAAGGCTATATTTTATAGTTGTTATTGAAAAAACCAGAAAAGAGGCGGGGGGAGAAGCGATGGAGCTAGATTGAAAGACCTTATAAATAAATAAGGAAAATACTTTTGTTATTGTTATTATTATATCACCTGGCCAGTACAGTTACTATTACATAGCTGATCATTAATTTGTTAATCAATATCAAATTAGCATTTGCTTATTTATATAATAGTTAAAATATATTTTTGATTTCTAATTTTACAAAAGATTTAAATTTAATGCATTAATTTTATAAAATATTTATTCAGTCATTTAACCCTAACAGGCTAACACTATTAATTTTAAATGGTTATTTTTTTATCAATAATTATTATTTAAAAAAAATTCAATTTAACATGTCAATATTTAAAAATATTTTATTAACATTTAAAAGTTAAATGTAAGACTTTTTTGTGAATAAAACTAACAGTGATAGAATTAAATGAATAAAAAAATTTATAAAATTAAGGGAATAAAATTAAATTTTGTGTAAAGTAATTAAAAAACTAAATCTATAACTTAATTTTAAATAATTTAACATATTTATCATAAAATAAAGATTGAAGCCCTCATTTAGTCATTTTGACCGCCCCCACCCGGCGGCGCCTGCCAGGAAACTACGTCCAACGTAACACGAGGGTGACAATTTGTGGCCAATGGATAAATGGGAAATTAAATATCTTTGTCCCCACATTTTTAACTCATTTTGAAATACTCCCAACTTAGCAGTTTATAAAATATTTTTTGTTAAAATTATATATATTAATAAAATTTATTCAATATATTTTATTTTTTTATTTTTTTAAAATATAAATTATAAACTTTTAAAAATACTTTTCATTTAATATCATCTTATTTATGAAATACTCTATCCGTTTAAAAATGTAAGGTAATTTTAACCGAATCTCACCTCTCAATAAAGTAGTTACCTACTTTCAAATTAATCCTAACTTTTCATATTTACCCTTATTAAATATCCTATAATAAATATAAATTTATTATTAATAAAGGTACTTTTTTTTTAAAAGAAAATGATTACACCTTAAAAGACTAAAAATGTCTTATATTTTTTAACATCCAACTTCTAAAAAAATGCCTTATATTTTTGAACTAAGAGCAAGGTACGTAAAATCGGATCGGTCATTAAATCGGTCATGACACTGGGTCACGGGTTAGTAGTTCAATCGGGGTTGAACCGGGGGTTGAACCGATGGCAAATTGGTCATGATTAAAATAATACAATTTAAATAAAAAGACATTAATTATAAAAACATTCAACCAAATCCAACCACTCAAAAGTCTAATAATAATAAAATACTATATTTTTGGGCTTAGCATGCTCTGTCTCTAATTTTTCATTTTTTGACTTTAATTTTACTTTTTTTTGTTATCTTATTTCCGAACTCAGAGCTCTGAAAAATTAAAAATAAAAAAAATAAAAAATGACATCATTTTGGGGTAAAAGTTTGAAAAAATAATAACCCGGTTAACCCAGTCAACCTACCGGGTTGACCGGGTTATACCGGTTCACTCCCTCACCGAGTTGACCGGGTTATACCGGGTTGAACTTGGGTTGATCGGATTATACCAGTTCACTCCCTCACCGAATTAAGGGTAAACCCAGACCGGACAAGGGATCGGGTCACCGGTTTTTGGGTTGACCCGGCCGGTCCGATCCGGTTTTCAATACTATGACTAAGAGAGTATTAAATTAAAAATGATAAAAAATAATATTAAAACAAAATATAATTAATGAAACATTATTTTTATTAAAATATCTTATATTTTAAAATACCAAATCATTTTTAAAAATATCTTATTCCTTGTACTTAAACTTTAAACAACTCCATGTACGTACTTTATACGGTTAGCTTCGTCGGTCCGCAAGTTTTCAAAAACAATATAAGCCCCTAAATGGCGTTCATTTTAGCTTATATATGTGGCTAGACAGAAAATGATGTGGCAGGTAAGTGTTCGATACATGAGATTAAGAAAACACCAAAGAAACTAAAATTGCTGGTTTTAACAAATGAAGCTGTTTGAAGAAGGCTGATTCGAGAAGACGGAAGACAGGGCTGTGAGTGGCGGGCAAATTAAGAAAGTTTGATGCGGTGGTGTGTTCATGTGATGTAGGGGGTATATATTATTTTTTATTTTAAAAATATATATTAGATATATTAATTATATTAATATAATTTATACTTATATTAATTATATTAATTATAATTTCAATACTTGCAATTCTTATATAAAACTAAAGATTTTTATATTAATAATTTTAATGACATAGAGTAAACATGATAATATCTTTCTTTATAATATATTAATCATATTAATATAATTTATTCTTATATATGTCTATTTAATAACTTTTATTTATATCATATTTCTTGTTTTATTTGCAGAAGAGTAATTAATTTAGTACATTTCAACTAAAGTAGAAGAATAATGATTTGATGTTGTGTTTGGCTTGCCTGTTGTTGTTGCTATTATAGCCTAGAGATCACTTGTAATTGCTATCATATTGTATAGTTGTGATTAATGTAATTCAATAATTGACTTTAAATTATTGTGATTTATGTACTTGCATTGTTTTGATTTTAGACTTAATAAATTATATGATTCAAAATTTTAACGAATATTATTATTCAGATTTTTTTTCGATGTTGTCCGATTTATTGGGACAGTGGGACGCCTCGATCTCGTCCCGATCCCATCCTGATTCCTAATGGGATGGGATGAGACATGAGACAAAAATTCAATCTCAATTTTTTTTTTCAGGATAGGACACGGGACAGGGGTGTCTCGCTCGTCCTGTCCCATAAACACCCCTAATGTGATGCTTTTCTAAATCATAGCTTATTATATATCAACTAATTTTTAAGGATAATTAATGATAATTTTAATCCATTGAGTTTACTTCAATTAAAAATTTTACTTCTAAAATTTAAATTTTATCGATTTGATTTATTATGATTTCTTAAAGAATATTAGTCTTTTAAGTTTTAAAATATAAATTAACATAAATTAACTCTTATTAATCTATGTGCACTATATTGATGACTCAAATTTTTTTTATGAAACTTAAATCAATTTAACTTTTATTAATTTAATCCTTTTATATATGTATGTTGCATTTTGTTCTTTTCTTTTTATTTTTCTTTTTCAAATTTTTGTATAAATTCTTTTCCTATCTAAATAGTTATACTTATTTTCATTAATCCACATTGTTACTACTATCAATATTCTATTGTCCATATTAGTAGATTTTAACAATTACTTTCTTTTTAAATAATAAAGACCAAATATATAATCAAGATAAATTTAAGGGAATAAATAAAAACAAAATTAAACTTGAAGGCTCAAATTGATAATTGAGACAAAGTTAAAAGATTAAAAATTTCATTATGGCTCCCTATGTTACTACTTATTTTAGTTTTCAAAATCTAAAATAGAAAATTTATTATGTTCATCCACTTTATATTTTATTACTTAAAAATCTTTGATCTTTTGCTTAAATTTAAAAAGAGTACTTAAAAATATTTACTCCTTTAATAAAACTTTAAAATGTTCATCCTAAACTAAAATTATATTTAGATTTTAGTCTGTCTCTCTTGCGCCATTGATGTCTTTTAATATATTGCTAGGTTTTGGGATTTCTTTTCTCTCTCTCTCTCTCTCTCTCTATATATATATATTAACAGCATGGCTTATTTAGCATGGGGAATGACTTCTTTGAAAAATTCTCAAGTCCCTTTTTGATTCCTGTCTTATAACATCTTTCAACTCTTTAAAATGGTTGGCCTCATATATAAATGTGTCGAGATCAGAAGAATGACAACTTTCATTGTGTCCCTAGCAACTAATTAATCTCATCCAATCTCTCCTCATATAGTAATCAACTCTTATAACTCTAATTAATTTCATATTTCACCAAGTGATCCTCAAGTTTTTGTAAAAGAAGCATACCTCACTGAATTACACTTTAAACAATGACAGATAATTCTTTTTAGATCTTTGGCATGCTTTAGTGTAAACTTAATGAATTCTTAAACTACATCCTAATATTATTAAGATATGCACCTAGCAGACATCAATCTTTTATCCATAATATCAATTCAATGTTAATCATTTAGAAAGGAAATATGATTTATGACTCAATACTAATTAGGACCTTCTCTAATTTTATGTGAGAAAAACCAACCGAAGATAGGAAGAGCAACAATAGAAGAGAAACCCATGGCCAAACCCATATAAATGATGACAGTGATGACCAACGGCATTTTTAAGGTGGTGAACAATAGGGAAAGGCCAAAAGTGGCATTTCATTGTGAAAGGGAGAGGTTTCGTGGAGAAGGGGAGAAGTTTCATGGGAGAAGAGAGAGTTTTGAAGGTTCTAAAGACCTAGCAACTCATGAAAATGATGCATTTGAATAATTTTTAAATGAAACTATGTGGCGGTTGTTTAAAATAACTACTATATACTTTGAGACTGTATAATACACTATTAAAAAAAAGAGCTATATGTAGTGGTTATTTCAATAACCATTTTATAGATGATGCGGGATTTAATTCCAAGCACTATATTATAGTTATATAAAATAACTTCTAAATAGTCTCTAGATCTATATGGTGTGGTTAAAATAATTAAAAACCCATTATCATATAGTCTCCATGTTTTTTAATTTTTTTCCCAAAAAACTATTTAATGGTTATTTTGAAATAACCACTAAATAGTTTCTAAAACTATATAGCGGTTAATTCTAGTAACTGTTATATAGTCTTTTTTGAACTTT